CAAGAAAGGTTGGACCAGATGATCCCTGAGGTCCCTTCTGTGGTATTCTACGATTCTATGACTTAATTCACCTCCCCACCCCCAAGCCCTGCCTTTGTGTCTTGGTACAAGGGTTACGTTATCAGATGTACAGCAGGCTTTCTGTATCTGGCAGTGTCTTAGCGTTTCTCTTCCACTCTCACAGCTATGAAGCTGACTGAATGCGAGGTAGAAATAATTAGGATTACAGGCATCTTGACTATAAACATTTCATCCCTGCCTGGATCATGCTAGGTGGCTTTAAAACTAACTCTTACTCACCTTTCACCACTTACCAACAAAATATTTGAGGATAAGTTTATTTCTCCCCAAATTTTCTGGAGTGAATAGAACGAATGTACAGAAAAGTATCATGCAGACTTAACAACAAACTCCAGCAAGATCCCCCACGAACCACACACCATACTGAGCATGCAATACTAGCCCCAGCAGTAGGAAGTAGAAGGCAGTTTTCTCTTAAATGGCAAAAACTATGAATTATTTCTGGTTACTGTTTTAGGAATTAAGTTACAGAATACATAGAAAAGTACATATCAGCTGTGGACAATATGAACAATAACTACTCACTACCAAGGTTGGGTTTTTGTTTGTTTTTTAAAAAAAAACAAAACCAGTTATAACCAAGACCTAAGGAGCAGGTAGCATTTTCTTGAATTTGAGTAGTGAGTCAATAAGTCACAACTACATGAAAACACGTGAACAATTGTGCATATCTTTTGTAACATAGAAATTGTTTATCCTTGATCTTCTGCTTTATTTGTGTGATTTCCCAGGGTTTAAAATGCCATTCCCTTTTTAAAGTGAATCTAGGACAGCATCAAGTGAATATATGAAGATAAACACCATATCAAATTTTTTACTTTGGAACTAAGTAAGAACTATTTGCTTGCTTGGAAGCCAAGAGATGGTCTATTAACTTTGAAATGAAGACTTTTGTAATGAATTCTGTAATTTTTTTAAGGAAGAAAAAAAATTATCAACAAGTTAACTTACGGTATTGCATGCAGGCCTTTTAAAAATCATATTCTAGTTATGTTCTGGCAATTTTTCTTCTTGCTTTGAAAAGTAGGAATTAATATAATTGGTACGTAGAAATGTTTTGAAAAGTCAACTAGCAGGGGTAAAAAAAAAATATACAGAACAGTTTAAATTGTAACCATTAAAATTTAAATGTTTAAGTCAGATGCCCAGATTTTACAGTGTCTTTCAATGGTTTTGTTTTAGAACGTCATTAAGGTATAGAACACTCCACAAATCTTTTTGTGAATGAAATTTTTATTTACACACTGTATCCAGAAGCAGATACATAAATGCTTATACATTTATTTTTCAAAAATGTGCAAGAAATTACTATAATTTTGTTTACAAACCAAAACACATTAAAATCAATGGACTTTGGATAATTCACTCTGTGGCGTGCTTAGTACAAATAGTGCACACCAGGTCTGAAACAGAGAAAAGTGTAAACTACAGCAATCTGGATTGCAAGTATTAACTTCATGGCACTCCATCATCACTACAAAAATTCTTTAACCCAACATGTATTCATACAAAATTCCTTAAGAATTTTTCATTATCTGTGTAGAATTTAGAACACACTCCAGATACAACAATGCCATATTTCCCTTATTATGAACTACCATCTAGCCCATTTTTTATTTATAAAGAATGCTTGCAATTTCTGTTCTTTGCAGTTGTAAAAAGATTTTAAGAAATTAAATTGGCAATCATTAATTTATCCATAGCTTAGCTCAGAATTTGAAAATTTAGTAACAAAGAAATACTTATCAGAATCATAGCCCATATATTGCTGGTATGGTGTTTTAAATTTATAATTCCAGTATTCACATAGATGAAATGCATCAAAACAAAACCTGCGCAGATTTCACTTAGCCCAGCAGTCAATATTCACAGAAAGAAATTGGCTTTAACAAAATGTAAAGTCAGCTCATCTGAGAACAAAGAGTTTGATTAATAATTGCATTTCTGATCCTTCTGACAGAAAAACATTTTGGTAAAAAGGTGGCATTCACTATGTCAACAGCAGGATAAGTGCTATATCCTTCAAACGGATCAAAATACAAATCACTTTCAGTTGTTTATAACACTGGCTTACAAAAAAAAGACCCACAGAGGAAATTGTGCAAATTTATTTTACTATTTCCAAATACGAGGTGGTGTTTTACTCTTCTAATTGGTAAAACAATGTTATCAATAACTTCAATCATTTCAGATGCTCCAAAAAAGTTTTATTTCAAAGTTTCATTTTCAAAAACATTTTTTCACAATTCGATTGCATAAAAAGCATACCTTTCGAACCCTTAAACTGTTGTGCTGAATAAATAGCCATATTTCTACTCTATAAGGACCATAGTTATCTTTTATTCCTAGTGTATCTACTTCCAAAGGTCCCCAAAATATCCTCGATCATTCTCTGTTTATTTATCAAGGACACTTTGTTCCTCTAATTTTCATGAAGCAGAAGTCAACACAATTTTTGTGGTTACTTCGAGTACTTCTAAATTGCCTCGTAACTAAATGTTACTGTGTTTCTTTTATATTAAACTTTATTATAAGAAATTGTAAGTATCTTTAATGTTTTCAAAGTCATTTTTCTGGGTTCCTTCTGCTGGCTGGCCAGCTACCTCAGCATGAAACAATACTGTGAGGGTCTGATTAATGAAACCTGTAAAAATAAGTATTTGTGTCTACTTATTACTGATTTAAAGTATTTTGAGCTTAGTAGAAATATCACCATTTTTTATTTAGAAACAAAGTGCTATATCGTTCTTGCATCCTAGGCCTCAACCACTTTACAGTGTTCCTTTTGTGGAAGCTTTTTGGGGGGGGAAAATGATGAAGTTAACTTGACCTGATTAAGATCGCAGATGAAGAACACAGCAAGGAAGGCAATTCAAAAACTGGATAGCTGAACCAAAGTTTTTTTTAAAAAAAAAAAAGCATCAAAAAAAAACTTTACAGTGTTCCTTTTGTGGAAGCTTTTTGGGGGGGGAAAAATGAAGTTAACTTGACCTGATTAAGATCGCAGATGAAGAACACAGCAAGGAAGGCAATTCAAAAACCGGATAGCTGAACCAAAGTTTTTTTAAAAAAAAAAAAAGCATCAACACGTATGAGTGAACAAACTGAAATTTATAAAGGCATGGGCAAGAAATTTAGCATGTGTGTTCTTGCATGTTTTTCAATTCAGCAATAAGACCAGGATATTATAGCTTCAACTATTTAAGTTTCAATGCAATGACTGCTAAATTAATGCATGTGGTGTAGTATAAACATATGTTTAATGCATTCAATAGTGGTATTAAATGGCAAAGAAAATATTCAATATACTATAATCTTTCAAAGATTCTGTAGAATGCATAGGCTCTCTAGCTTGTACAGGGAAAGAATTTTTAAAGTGAAGAAAATGCCAGAGGTTTTCTTCCAAAAGTATGCATCTGAAATCCATAAAAGTGATTTTCTTTTCCTCCCCACAGACAGAATCAGAACACTGTACCATACAATAGGTTATTGTGCCTTTTTGAATAAAGTTAGTGATCCTGATTCGGGGGGGAGGGGGATTTGGGAGGAGGAAGTCAGTAGAGGGAAAAAAGAAAACAGAATTCACACTTGCATACATATATCTCACTGGCAGAGCCAACAAATTATGCATATAGACTGCTCTAGATTTTTTTTTTTAAGTTTAAAACTTTATCAGACTAAAGAAGAAATCCTTATTCTCTCTCCCTTAAAAGCAAAGGCAGCCTTTTTCTACCTTTGATTTTCTTTTTTTTTTTTTTAGTTAAACATTATGGTCAAAAAATAAATTAAAAAAATATAAATTTAGTCTATCAATTCAGGCAACCCAAGATGTAGTGCTATTGCACCACCTTGCAGCAATACTATATTCATTACTAAAGACTCATTTCAGGGGGCAAAAGGCTAGATTAAACAAGGAGAAGAAAATGACCTAAACAAGAAAGCTGTATCAAAGAAGAACAGCCTTTTCTAAGCTGATGTTTACTGACTAGCAACTCCTTCCAGAGATGGGGAAGATGACATTCTAAAATACAAAACGGGGGCAGAGGCAGGCAAAGCAAGCCTCCCTCCCAAGCCAGCCATGACCCCTTTAACAAATATCTCATAAAAGTGATAGAATCATGGGGGGAAAAACCTGAAACAAAACAGGAAAATGCCATAGATTAACCCTGCATGACGAAAATATTAGTGTAGAACCTGTACTCCCCCACTGAAAGTCTTTTTTTTTCCCCTACAGAAGGTTAGAATAACTGTAAGCTTTTCAAATGCCAGAATCTTTGACAGATATCATAAACATTTACTTAATTGATTCAATATTTCATATGTCAAAACATATTTCATGACAGTAAACTGAAACATTTTCTGCAGTCAATGTATATCCAAACCTCTTTTCCCCATAATTTCAAAGGCTATGAGAACATAGCTTTAGAGATGCATTTTAAGTATCTTCCATCCAAAATGTTATCAGTCCTGTTCCTTCCTCCCCAAAGGATATGCAAAAAAAAGGGGAAAACAATACAAAGGACATTAGTGTATTACTGCATTTCTGAAGTGAAAAAATGCAGAAAATTA